CACGCAATGCCTCGACTTTGCTGGGCTTTGTGCATTTCTGAGTCAGCCCCTTGAACCAGCAGCTCCATCCAAAGCATTAGGGGTGTAAGAAAATATTGATACACTGAAATATCGCGATATTTCATTTCCCTATACTGTATCGATATTCTAAAGCCCTGTATCGATTTTTTATTAAGGTTTAAAATGTYAACTTTCCTGCCAGCTGTTCATTTTTATTGTGTAGTTCTGCCTCTGACCACTAGTTGGCAGCAGTGAGCCAGCCATTTGTCTCCTCTACCTCTTGAGGTAGAGGCTATTGTTAAGTGTTGGGTGACCATATTGTAAATTAATATTAAAAACTAAAAGCTGCAAAAAATATATTTTCAAACCATTTATTGTCAAATTTAGTCTAATAATTGAAAACATGGATGAAATAASAAATATGAAACAAATAAAATAAAATACATACAAAGCAGAACACAGCTAAATGTATCAAAAGCATGTCTATGTAATATTAGAATTTTCTGAGACAATGAATTTTGGTTTTTCTTTTTTTTTTCCCTGTAAGAGGTTTTTATTTTATTAAAATTTTTGGACAAAAAAATCGCAATATATTGCAATATATCGCCTTGCTTATAGTATCACAATATATCGGGATATATCGTATCGTAACCCCTCTGTCATGATATGTATCGTATCGCCAAATTCTTGCCAATACACAGCCCTACAAAACATAGACATCTGTCTTGTATCAGTCATAAACAAACTGAATAACTTTAGGGTCCTTTTTGTGATTCAATATTTGTTGAAACAAACTACAAATTTGCTGTGCCACGTAGGGTTTAGATTGGGTCTAAAAAGTCCCACCCAGCCAGTGGACCTGTCTCCACCCCCAACACATTTAATTACCATTTAAGGCGATCCCCTTTTTTGAGCTTAAAAGGCCTAAAAAATGTAATCCTAATAGACATGTAATGCTGTCCCTACTTTCATACCGACCTCAGCATTTTTCAGTCCTTGCACGGACACTCACCTCTGGATGTGTTGGAGCAGAGCCTTTAAGTGCTACCACACAGGATTTCTTAAATAAATAAATTCATTATTTATTTTATCTAGTGCTAAATATTCTGTTCTTATTTGTATATTAATAAGAATAATATATTTTAACATAAAATTACTATTTTTTTTAATATCCCAGCATTTTTGATACAAAAACAGCAACAAGCCTGAATAAAACTGTCAGAGCAACACAGACAAAAAGAAGAGACACACACACATCTTGCTATCTTTGTGAGGACTTCACACACACACACAGCGCTCACAGCATCTCTGCCTCAGTCTGCTGCTCCCGTTTTTAACACCAGGCAAAAAATGCATTTAAAMCAGCTGASGTTAACTTTAGATCACAGTTTGAAATGTACACCGAAGAGAACCAGCATCACCACTGCGGTCCCAGTAAACGTGATGTGAGCAGCGTCTGGTTCACATGATGGTGRACGGCTGCGCTCGCTAAAACGTTCAGCGAGAAAAGACCGAAAGCTTTTTTATCTTAATCCAGCAGGGAGAACAATAGAGGTGTTTTTCTATGCCTCATGTGAGCAGCTCCAGCATTTTAAAAAGAAAAACAACGCGGACACGCTGATTACAGTGCCAAGGTGAAAGTAAAACATGTCGCAGCGCTCCCGTCTGGAAAAGAAACTTAAACACAGCTGTTCTCTCTTCCCTCATATTCTGACACAGAGGGTAAAACAGTTAAATTAGACAGTTAAAACACATTTACAGTTCATAACTCACCCTTGTTGTTGTTGTTAGCACTCTGTCTTACAACATTAGCAGCTGTTCTCTCCCCGTGGGAAGGGGCGGACACATGCGCTCGCGTGACCCAAAGAACGGATCAGCCGAACGGACAGTGTATCGGCCGATACAAGGAAAAAAACGCAAATATCGGCCAAAAATATCGGCCGGCCGATGTATCGGTCGACCCCTAAAGCTGTTGTGTGTTATTATCCACTATGTGACATATTAATATTCTGCACACAGGAAATATTGTCTCTTGTTGACTCTGAAGGAAGTTCCATTGGTCAACTGCATAATATTAGTGCTTTAGAATTAGATAGGGACCTAAATATGTGAGTTAGTGCTTTAGAGTTAGTGCAACTAATTTTTAGATTAGTGCTGTCCACCACTACTCTAATTAAAAAAAAAAGTTTTTCCTCCTGCTTCAGGTGCTGATGCGGGTCAGCTCCAGTGATTATCTGCTGCCACTTTTCTTTCTCTCTGAACAGAATAAGTCTATAATAAGTAGATTAACACTTCTTTAGATCGTGCATTAGTTTTAGGCAGATTAATGCACCACAGAAGCCCTGAACCCAGCAGCCTGAATCCAGTTCGGTCATTAAAAAGTGTCTTCAGAAATGTTAGCTTGTTGAATTAAGCTGACCACACCTCCTCACTCATCCCCACATACAGCCATGCCCCTAAGTGTCTCATGGCACCAGCCACTTTGTGCCCTGTAGTGGGGTTATGCTTTTAGTTACACTTTAAACTTTAAACTTAAAAGACAAAGCAGCACATCTTCCTAATTTAGGAGCTGGAATTCTGAAATCTCTGTGTCACACTTGGCAAATAAAATGCATAATAAATCAGTTTCTAATTGCTTTTTGTCTAAAGCAGAGGAGCCCAAATTTGTCCCTCAAAGCCATTTGATTTGGCCCACCAGCAGTTAGTTAGTAGGTTGTAACTTGTTGTGCTATGTAGAAAGTAATCATTTCTTATTATACATAAGCAAGTTTTCTTTTCTTTCTTTTCCTGATGCTGAAATGATTGTAAAAGATTGTATGAGAATGTGTTGCTGTCACGTCATGTTGACCAGAGAGCTGTGAACTGAATTGTCCTTTTAGGATAAATAAAGTTATTTTGAAGTTGAAGTAACAGTATTTCCACCTAAAGTCATTATTTATCCATTGGTCCAGTGACAATAAGAGGCTGTAGTGCAGAGTTTTCACTCATGGGGTTGACTTTATCTTTGATATATTAGGATTAAACATCAAACATGAAATACATGCAACAACAAGAGCTATGTATTTAGATTAAATTTAACCACACATGTAGATTTGTACACTTTATAAGGCCACAAAAACTCATATTTTATCAATTTATGAAATGCCCCATCTAGGGCTGGGCGGTATGACCTCAAATTCACATCACGGTATAAACTGAATCCCTTCACGGTAACAGTATATATTGCGGTAGAAAGTTATCATAAAAAGCAAAGTTAATGTAATTTTTAGAGCATTTATTTTGCAGAATACTGTAATCATAATCAAACCCAGCATTTTTGCTGTAGTGCAAATGAACATAACAGAAGTATAAATGGTTTTATATATTTTGTAAAACCGTTTAAACAAACAAAAACATTTTTCTAATTTTCAACAATATCAAAATAAAGTCAAGTAAAATTAGTCATTTAGACATAAAAAACAATTTTAAGCTGGCATAAGTTGCCTAAAATGTTAGTGTGACAGGACCTTTAGGGGCTTAAGCTGCACATAGTCCTGTCATAAAACTATTTAAGATAACTGGAATGTCAGTGTGGTGAAGCCAAATAAATGTAATATCTGCCTGCCATACAATGACCTTCTGCCTGCTGAACTTATCTGCTGCAGCTCTGCTGCGCTCTCATCTGCATCATCAGAGCAGAAGCCGACTTTAGGTTACATTAGCAAGATGGATTTATGACTGAACGAACGTCCATCTTTTTTTTATCACCTCTGTGTGTAACAATACATAAACAAGTTTTTTTCTTCGACAACTTGGGTGTGAAAAAACTACGGCTTCGCTTTGCGCGACGTGCAGCGGGACGGAAGGAGGAGGAAATGATCCTGCATCCCGTGACACGACGTAACTTTTCTACAGCGGCAGGGGGGAATTTTGAGGATTTATTCTGTCTATACGTGTTTTAAAACTATAATTTCTTCATTATATTTCAAACTCCTCCTGCTCAGTTGTCTCTGCACTCACAGCCCTGTTGACACAGGTGCGATGATGTAACTGATGATAGGACGGTAGAGGGTAAATTTCTACCGTAGGCCAACTTCATACCGTTTCTACCGTAGGGCTGCCATGATTAGTTGATTAATCGATGACTAATCGATTATTAAAATAATCTATGAATAATTTAATAATCGAGTAATCTTTTTTTTTTTGGGGGGGGGGTTGTTTTGTATTTTTGCTTTGTTTTTCTCTCCAAACTGCTTTGACACCTTCCACTGCCACATCTGCCTTTCTGTCCTTGACACACATGCACAGTAGTGGTAACTGGGGTAGGCCGTGGACGTCACAAGACATTATACAGACAGGCTCTGGTATCATGGCTACCTGACAACAGAGCTCAAAGTGTGGGATCATTTTAAGAAAATGAAAGAGAAACCTGTGTAATATCTGCAGAGCAGAACTTRCCTTCCACAGCAATTATTTTTAGTTAGCATATAGCTAAAATCTAACCATGGTTATATAATAGCAGCTGCATTCTGGCTCGATAAGCTCTATGTTTTATATTCAATTAAAGTATGATCTGATTAGTCGACTAATCGAAAAAATAATCATTGATTAATCGATAATAAAAATAATCGTTTGTGGCAGCTCTATTCTACCGTCTACCGCATATACCGCGAAGCCCTAATCCCTTGAGCCTTTGCTGCTTCAGAGTATGGCAGACTTTCTCCAAATGCACAGACTGAACAAAAGTGGCTGCTAGCTTAATCATTAAAAACAATGGACTTTTATTAAAACGTACTTGTATTTTATGTATTATATTATCACATGTGGCCCACAGCCCCGGATAGATTTTCATTTTGGCCCTCTCAGGGAATATGTTTGGACACCCCTGGTCTAAAGGATTAATCTGTAGTTTTATCTCCACATGATGTCAGTTTTAAGTCCAGTGGACCATGTCCTGGTCAGTTGTGTTTCTCCTGTAAGTGTGTTTGCTCTCTCACACCGTCTCTCCCCTCCCTCCACAGGTGGGCGACATGGTGAAGGTGACCAAAATAAACGTAAATGGCCAGTGGGAGGGGGAATGTAAAGGCAAGCGTGGCCATTTTCCCTTCACACACGTCAAACTGCTGGACCAGCACAACGCCGAGGACGAACTGAGCTGAGAGTGGACCGCCGGTTCACAGCCTGGACACTAGTATTAGAGCCTTCCTCACTTCCTGCTCTCTGCCACCATCCCCACCTCTCCTCCTCCTTCCTCCACTCACTCTCACTCCTCCCCGCTCCACCTCAATCTTTTACTGGCACCAAGTACAGTTTCATAAAATCACTGAAAACAACCAGGGCCTTTGTTGGGCCTGCTGTGGTCCATTTCTTTTTTTGTTTAAATAAACACACCTGCCTTCCTGCTCTCACTGGCTGCAATGCAGAAGATCAACTAAATCTCTCATTCCCTTGGTTTGGCAGCAGCCTGTGGACCTCTCCTGTAATCTGTCCCTGCCGTGGACAGATTATCAACGCTCAGTGTTCAGCCACTACTGCTTCCTGTGTCGGAGCCTCTGGATAGCTGCCGTGTCATTTTTCATCCTCATCTGCCACTCTGGCAACAACGTCCCTATGGTCATTTCTGCTGCATTCATGTCAGGTGGGAATACACAGTAACAGTATGTGTTTCAACTACAGGAAACTAGTAATCCTGTCAAAGCTCAGCGTTTTAAAGTGCTGCCATGCACTCTATGAAGATACGCTACAGCCTGGACTGTTCAGCTTAAAGACAAACAACTAGATGTATTTATGATTTTTGACACTGATGGGAAGCTTTAAAAATCCAGGGCTCTCGTGATTTTTCAATGTAAAAACCTCAAATTGTGAAATTAGATGTAAGAAGATAAACTTACTGCAAAATGCTCAATATTGTGGAATTTGGTAACACGTGGGTGGGACTAGTGATTTTAATTCATATTGTATGTTTCAGAACAACGTTATGAAGTGTTTTAAAATAAACACAGTGACACATTAGATCAGTGGTTCCCAAAGTTGGGGTCGGGACCCACAATGGGGTCCTGAAACATCAAGGTGGGGTCTTGAAAATATTTTCTGAATTAATTACACTAAAAAATGACAACAAAGATGGTTATATTTATTTTTTTGCTTTTGTTTTTATAAAATAATATGATTAGTGTACTTAAAATGGACAAAAATAGCAATATAAATAATGTTACTACGCTTTTGTGTATTTGACGTGAAAACGTTTATCAACCAACAAAAGCTGGAGGCTCAGGTGTCTGCTGGTATTTTATGGGTCAAAAGCTGAAAAGTTTGGGAACCACTGCATTAAGAGACAGTAATCCAAAAAAAAAAAACATTTAAAACAATTTTTATTTTATGTATTATTATGTTGACTGTTTATAGACTGTAATAGCAGTAAAAATAAATAGAAAATGTGACCAATCACATCGAAACGAGGATTAACTCTAAAAGTTGTGGAGAAATAGGCAGAAATACTGTTTTGATTAAAATGCTTGCAAAAATTTCATTTTGTTAAAATATAACGAATGTGTTATCAATGTATCATTTCAATGAACTGTCTTAAATATTATCCTAAAAATATATTTGAAGCACTTTTTGGAGCAGTAGCAGCAAAAAGCAGATTTTGAGGAAAATGTTGAGATTTTCACTGTGAGCTATCAAATCTTTTGTTTCTTTCCAGCTGGGAAATCTCAATATTCAAATATTATTTGAGGTTTCTTTTTTCAAATGACATAAAAAAATCCTCATTAAAACCAACTATTTATGTATTATTAGAACCAACAAGACAAATTAAGTCATATCTCTGGATCTACTAATGATATCAGGATGATCTAAGTATCAAAATGTAGCTTTTAAAGCAGGAATCTGAAAATATGATGAGGTCATTTTGAACAAATTGGACTTAATCCTCATTTTGACGTGATGGGTCACATATACATTTAGGTGTAGACTAAAATAGCAGTAGGCAAAAAGTGAGTTGGTTAAAAGCTTTGCAGCAGCAGAATGAGATATTCTGTTAATAAAAATGGTAAAATTTGCTAAATTTGTGTCAGTCTAGCTGAACACTGTCTAAATAAACATGTCATTGTTGCCCTCATCAGGAAAGCAAATATCACACAATTATGATATTTAACACTACACAATGTGTGCGACATGAAATAAATGAAACACAAACATTTTGTTAAAATAAAACAGCAATGTCTTTAAAATAACTTGGATTTTTGATGAACTAAAACTATTTTACTGTAATTTTAAAATCAGGTAATGAAATGGTGGAATCTGTTAATCCACCTTTTATTAGAAATTCACTTTTTAGGTGAAAAAAGGCGGTTAAATTATAAAACATGAAATTCAGATGAATTTTTTTCAGAAACTGGATTGAGGATTTCACCTGGGCCTTAGACTTTGTTGGTTAGTTTGGCGAGCTTCCTCCTTCCAGTCCTGCTGCTGGAACTGTCCTGGATGGAGCTTTGCAGAAGCATTAAAACAGGATTCTCATTGGCCATGTAAACAAGCATGCTTTTCAAAAAACAATTCAATCTTATTGTGCACAATGCATGAGGATAGTGCATGCATGTAAACTTCAGCTTCATGTTTTTTTTTAAATCTTTTATTCATGTAAATTCATCATCAAGCACTTTGAAGATCAAGTAGTCCAAACTGAAGCAGCAGATCAGTGAACAGTACTCTCTGGCTACTGTGGTGTTTTATCATGGATAAACTCTGTATCTTACTGGACATGAATGCAGCAATATTATGTGTGAATACATGACTGTGAAAAGACTAAATCAGCAGGACTCATCCGAGGGAAGACTGTTTGAAAAAGACACGACAGCACTCGGTCAGCTGGACGTGTAGCGTTCCTGTTGAGGAGGAGACTAGTCCGGCCTGTGAACTGGAGAACACAACACTGAGTGAAGACCAGCAGCTAAGAGCTACTTATTGTCACAGCCATGGAGCAGATCCCAGCACCAACCCTGAGGAAACCTTTCAGATTGTTCAAGAGGTGAAACTACCTGCTTTCACCTCAGCCTCGGTCCACCTGTCGCCTCCAACCAAGTACCACCAAGTAGGCTTTTGTAGAGTAAGTAGAGCATATTGTTATGAAATGATGTATTATCTGGTTCTCATTTCATGCTATATATTGATTTTAGTAGTGTTCTTCATAGCTGATTTTGTCCAGGGGTGCACATTGTTATTTTACTGCTGCATGTTGGGAGAGAAGGATGGTTCGTAATCTGTTCAGCTCCCCAGTCGTCACGTTTGTTCTCATGATTGAAGTTAAACAGAGTGAATGTAGGCTCCCCAGCATTAGTACTGTCTTTTCATTTTTGTTTACCCTTTAACCCACTGAGTTCACCTTTAAAACAGTGTCTGTCTGGGCTGCGGTTATTGGAGATACGTTGGTGACTCAAAACGGCGAGAGAAGGCAGTTTTTCAGTGAAGTCTCACAACGATTGCTTATTTCATCCTTTATTCATGCCGAGCGAATTATTTACAAACATGTCAGCGTAATTTTGAAGTGTTTAAAAGAGAATGCAGACTTGATGAGTTCTAATCTCAGCTGCTACTTTATTGTTGAGGACGGTTGCTTGCTCGTCCTCTCGGTTGGAACTTGCAGTGAATTGAAGTTTACTCACCATAAGTCCTGTCGCTGAGAAGCCTTCTAATGAAAGACAGGCTTTGGGTACAGAGACGTGTCCTGCTGCTAATTTAGGATGTTTTTATTTCTTCATTTTCACCAGTCCAATGGATCAGCGTGGAGGGGGGTGCGTATAGTCTGACAATAACTGAGCTCACCAGTGACCGTAGTTTCCACTTTGTAATCCTTTTTTTTCCTCCGTTCACTTCAGTAGAAAAAAGAAAATATTAGTTTCTTAATTTCTTCATCATCAGTGGAAAAATAAACACTTTGTATTCCTTTCTAAACAAACTACGGCAAAAACACAGGAGATTCTCCTAGTTTTTGATTTATTTTATTTATTTTTTCCAGGAAGTGGAAAAAAAATCATAAGGCAGGGCTATTCAACTAGCGGCCTGTGGGCCACATCCGGCCCACGAGTGACCAAAGTTTGGCCGGCCAATTGGTTCATTCATCTCTTAAGCCCAAACCCCCGGTTTTCTGCTTTAATTACTCCGTTATTTTACTTAAACATAGACATGTTTGGTGTCTACAGAAACGTCAGAATCTTGGCTACAAGCTGGTAAAAACAATTTCAATAAACATCCAAGACAGTTAAAACTACAAGAGTTTGAAGATAAAACTGTGAAAGTGAAAATAAAATTGTTTTAAAAATTTGGCAAGTCAGAGGTCAAAATATTTTGTGGTAAATAAGAGGCATAATATTTTGTTTGTTTTTATCATCACTACATTTATTAAATAGGGTTCTGTATGTTCATGATTAAATACAGCAAAATAAACAAATTTAAAGGTAACAGATCTTTGTAATACTTGGTTTATTTACATAATGACTTTAATTGCTGGATGTTCGGCCCCTCAGCTGTTGGTCTGCATTAACTGTGGCCCCCGGAGCAGTTTAGTTGAATAGCCCTGTCATATGGTATGATAAAAGCACTGTTGAGAAACAACGTTGTCACAACCAGGTCCCGTTTTTAAAAAAAACAAACGTCATGATTAAAATGTTTCCAATGGTCCAATTCTTCAAACTGGACCATTTTAACTACTGTATTTATTCATGTATACTAGAAATTTAACCCTAAAAATCATCCATAAAGTGGGGGTTTGTTATTATACACGGGTTATTGATAATTTGATTTTTAATATTTTTCTAGCTCAAAAAATGACCGTATTACGCTCGATCGTATTATACATGAATAAATACGGTAGACTTTTTGTTAAATAATGTAGTCAAAAACAGGCTATGATCCTGTAAAGTCACTGATTGGAGAGGCCTGCGATTAAACTGAGAAAATGAACTGCGATCATCACAATAACCTGAGAGAAAGTTTTTTTGTACGAATTTTTTGAACCTGTTCAAACTCGAGTTAAAACTGTGAGCCTCTCCGACTCGAGCAACAGAAGAAGAGACTGGAAAAGCAATCGACTCATCTCCAACAGTTGCATTCGAGTGAGATGCTATTTATAGCACATTGCTGCGTGTCCAGATTTTGTCTTATTTGTATTGAAGGAAAAAAATGATGGTATTATTTGGCACCTGTCCTTTGTTTTTAGGCCTTTTATAATGATGTTGCCACCTTTCATCAGTTCGCTCCTCTTGTACTCTGGTTTATTTTTTGTCTTTCCTCTATTTCTTTACCTGTCTTTTGTTTGAAGCTCTAGGTGACGATGCACGGGCCGTAATACTGTTTTTCTTTATTATTATTATTATTATTATTATTATTATTTCCTTCCTCCATTTTTTTGTTGCCAAGAAACTAGTTTGTAATTTGTGCTCCCAGAAAGTTGTTTTCTGTTTCCGCCTGAATTCAGTTTCTTGTTGACTCCTGACAATCATCATCATCATCATCACAACCCTGCAGCCCCACTGTGTAACATAAAGCAGAGTAGATGAATAGAAACAGGCCATGTGTGTAGTTTCTCTTGTTACACAGTGAATTCTTTAAATGGGATTGGCGAGGACCTCTCTGTTCTGATTTGGTTGTAAAGTATTCCACTTACAGGTGACACTGCAGCAACATCCCAACAGATGGGGTCTTTTTGATACGCCATACTCTCACAGCCTTCATGTAGGTTCATGTGCCCCCACACACACACACGTTTCTCTCACTTCATAGTTTGTGTGTTCTGTCCTCCCTCTGTTTATTTTGCCAGTTCTATCTCGAATCCAAACGTCACCTTTTCAAAACACAACATCAGAATAACACGAACACATTTACAGTCAGTTTGTAACACTGTGTCGGCCCATTTTTCTGTAACTCTAATCACTTTCAGCTTCTTTGTCGTTCAAATTGCTCAAAGCAGGTGCTCAGCTACAGAACTCATAAATTGTGTTGCCAATAAAAACCACTGAGAAGTATTTTTTTAGTAGCCCTGCATGAAGTCATTTATTTCTTTTCAGATAAAGGAACGTGTGGCGAAATGCCAGTGAAAATTGTGTAATATGAAAATGTGCCATTTTATTATAACACTATATTCTTTCGAGATAATTGAAATTACTTTTTTTTTTCAGTAGCATGTAATGTGTTAATATACTAGTAAATAAAGTCAAACCTTTGACAAATGGTGTGTTTTAAGTTTTTTGTGTGTTCAAAAGGTAAAATTATGAAATATGGTAAAATGAATAGTTTGTTGTAACTATGTCATAAAACAAATTTCTTCATAGTACATGGCAGTGTTTTCATCCATGTTTGTAGCACCAGCAAAATATCTCAATGTTCAATGATTTCTTCATGAAAGTTTTATTAAAATGTCATTTGAGATAATTTGCTAACAAACACATTGTGTTGTCGTAGCAGCAAATAAGATTTAATTCTTATCGTTGGGTGACCTAAGTCTGGACAAAAATCTGTCCGCTGACTACAAGAAAGACCAAGTACTAAAGTACTACACACATGGAAACTGCAGTTCTTGAAACTAAAAGGGTTGGCCCGGACACTTGAAGCCTTCTTCAAGAACTTATGGGGATGTGAAACTCTGCCAACTGCACAAGTCAACATCAAGGGTGGCTGATCCCAAAGTGGTGCTCTGTCCCCCAAACTCCTTCAGTGAAATCATCCCCAGAGGTGGCTGCAGATGATGGTTTCAAAGTGGAGCAGTCACTGACGTAAGGATGACGCCAAACCGTTTTCCCAAAATGAGCAAAACTGAGATATTTCCAAGCTATCAACATGTACTCACTTCCAGTCATCAGATACTCTGCTGGTATAACAGCCTGACCAAAGGAGAAGATGGAAGCCACTGACGTCAAGACTCAAAGGTTTCTCACAGTGGAGTGTTTCACCACATGTCCAGCACCCTCATATGGAAGACTGAAACTGGCATTATTAGAAATAAAAGCAGAAATATATAAACAGGCCAATAAATAAATACACTTCAAATGCAACAATTAAATAAAAAATGAGAACTTTATGTCTTGTTTTATAATTTACAGTAATTGGCCTCCTTCCTGTCTTGACCAATTGTGGAGGAGCTAACCCAAGAAGCCCCGCCCACATTATTTGCATAATAAGGCAGTAATGAATAAGGTAAAGTAAAAACAGTAGACATCCATCCATTCATTATCTATACACACTTCTTCCTTTCAGGGTCACTGGTGCCCATATCCATCAGTCAGTGTGAGGGGTGGGGTACACCCTGGACAGGTCACAAGACCATCACAGGGCCAAACAAAAACAGGAGACAGAAATGTAAAAGCAATACATCAAAGAAAAAAACTGGTGGGAAAATTTTATAAAAAATAATTAACATAAAGTAACGTAAACTTTATTTATACAGCACTTTTCAGCAGCTGGGCGATACAAAGTACTTTATAAAAAGATACAAATAAAAGAAAGAACACAAGTAGGCAGTATAAATCTAAGTAAAAAGGCAGAATAACCTAAGACATCATTACATGGTAGGAGAATAGTCAGTATAACTAGGACATTAAATTAAATATAAACATTCAGGAGACACAAATGTATGGAGGACCAAACCTATCATTATTGGAAATAAATGTATAAATATATAACTGGCGTCTTAAAATAAATTATAGGGTCAAAAAGAAGTTTGACAAATAAATTATTGTGCCATTAAATCAATTACATCAATTATTTAGATATAAATGTGTATTTACATTTTAATTTTGAAGGATTATATTTTCTCTATGTGCTTTATCGCA